TTTGTATAAATGCAAAAGAAAAATCAACTCAAAACAAATCAAACTATTACACTGAATTAATAAACGTCTCTCCAATTTACCCCTGTGTTTTGCAGTGTACTATATTCAGTAGGTGACAGTTAACACACTTTACCTTTGTGCACAAACAACAGCTGTCCCTGGTCTATGTGTGCCTGGGTGAAGTTGAGCACCGCCTTCATGGGGGCACTCTTCAGGGCCAGGTGTCCATTGCTTGGTGGAGTCACCATGAAGTGACGCTCCTCTGGGGGTGTGTCCTGGTCCTGCGCCATCAGATCCCCCGGGCTGATCTCTGTCACTGAGGACACCCAGACCTGGACACAAAATGGACAAGAACACAACGGGTGTCATCGATAATCTACATTAAAACACACGCCTCAAGGAACATAGGAATCATTTTGTTTGACGTGGCTCATGACGTAAGAATTTGACAGCCAAATGGGAGTTGCCATTTATTTTGATAGATGGAATGACATATCATATTTTCTTACACAACACTATAAAAACTTGATATATTAAAGCTAACTTCTATTTGTGGATGTCATTCTTTGAATAAATCTCCTTAATTCAGGTGTTCTGGAAAAAAACATATCTTCAGAATAAAAGTGGAATATGTGTTTTCATCAATTAAATGATCTTGAGAAGCAGCTATGTATAACATCCACTCTCCACACATATATAATACATCTGAAAAGGAAACACAACACATAAAACACCAAAGGAAACAGTTGATATGTCCTTGTTACTCATCACCACCTACAAAGTACCCAGAATGCTGCGGGTGTGGAAAATGTCAGTGGGAATCACTCAGGTCACACTGAACTACATAATTCAAATGAAGACTAAATAAAGCGGTGTCGACTGTAAACACAGTTGGATGTACTGTAGAGTGTTGGCACAGGTAAACAACCTGCTTCCATGTAAAATCAAAGCCCAGAGCGATCACAAAAACTACCGACCCATGCAGACACACAACACAGAATGAGCTTCATACTCATACTCAAGGTCAGAGCAACTGTTGCATAACTGTACACTCAGGGTGTCATTCAACAGTAACTACTGAAAAGCAGAGACAAAAAACTAAACAATATATGACTTTGAAATCTGGAATTAAGCCATTGTTAATGTTATTATTTCCTGCTGTGTCAAGTGTATTAATCAGTGCCTGTTTCTCAAAACCACAGCTACATAAACTACTGTCTGTACATGACAAACTATATACAGGCTTATCTATATGTTCATATTGTCATAGCACTCGTTTGGCCACAAGAAGGAAAGAATGAAAATGAGCTCTCAGCTTGAGTCCAAGCTAGAAACTCCTTGCACTGGCTAGCAGTCACCCACAAAACTAATTTTAAAGTGCTAAAGCCACTTTCAAATCAAAATTGAAACCTGCTAGAAACTCCTCAGGTTTTCCGGTGCCTTTGATTGATTGGTTTCGCTGCTCTACCTTTGTTTCCTGTTGCATTTAGGACAACTTAAAACTTATTACTGCACGGTAAATGTCTTCTTTTAGCTTTGTTATATCTTTATCTTGCCTTGATTGATTTTATTCTGGGTTTTAATTTTGTTAATGTTTTTCTTTGCCTATGTAAAGCACTTTGAATTGTCTTATGAAATGTGGTACAGTATATAAATAAAGCTGCCTTGCTATGAAAACTGATTTCTTTTCAAAGTGCCACCACTAGAACCTAGTATGCAGACTGGCTTTATTTCTCTAACATCAATAAAGCAAGAGCTTATCAAATGAACTGCTGAAATGTCAGATATACACATTCTGTTTTGCCTTTTCTACCGAATGTCCAAGTTTATGATAGACTACATCCTGTAAATTAGCAAAGGTTAAAATTCTTTCCAGAACAATGAGTCAAATTACAGAGAACCACAGTGAATGTTTTGCTTTCCTTGTAATGTTAAAATCAAATCAGTCATATTAGTAAAATAGTGAGTGCAGATTCCCCTTTTAGAGCAGTGCTGGCTGGCCATACTAAAGTATGATGCCATTTTAAACAAACAGCGTGATCACAGAAACATCTGAGTGTTCACACGTTGGCTATCAAGCAAGTATTTTTGTTGCCAACTTCTCACTGCTGCTCTGTGAAAGTTGGTTAATGTGAGCAATGTGATGAAGTATAAACTTTGCAGGGTAGGAGGAAGTGGGTGCAGCAACAAAACACTTTGTGACAGAACAGCTGCAAGCCTATCACAAACATAGGACGTCAAAGTATCTGAGGATGAGTTTTACCTTGGTGACAGTGGAGTCTAAAGGGCCCTAAAATTCACCTTAAAATCAAAGGAGGAGGTGTAACTGGCACTGAGCTGTCTCTCACTTGCTGTTACTCACTGGAACAGAAGCATAGGGTACTTTTTCAATTAGCACCTTTAAACTCCCACATCTAAGATAAAAAACAAATGAGATCAGTTTGCACAACCAGCCCCCTTGGAGAAAAGCTCAGTCCCTCAAACATGATGGGGCGCTCACCAGGTTGCAGCTTTAGTGACAGCCAAGTTTAAACAAACAAAAAAAAAACAAACCCACCACACTTGTATCTTTGATCCACTTTATTGAATTCCTGCATGTCTTGACTGCCAAACCTCAGTTGTTATGTTTATTTATTTGGGTATTTTAATTAGCTTGTGTTTTTAACTCAGCCAGTTTTAGTCCCACATTAAATTTGACAGTTAAATCATGTTTAATTTCATCTCAGAAAATCAGCTGACATACCCCCCTCATCATACTCAGCAGCACCGTATCAGCAGCAGACTCCTTCAAGTTCCTGGGCTCCACTGTCTCCCATCAAAAAGGAGCAGCAGAGGATGTACTTCCTGCGTCAGCTCAGGAAGATACAGTTCTACAGAGGAATCACTGAGTCTGTTCTAACATCCGCCATAAAATCTATGTTTATGAAGCTCAAAATGTTTCAGTTTTTGGTGAAATTGTCAAATGTATAAATTCAAGTATATGCTTATTACTGAAGTCATAGTTAAAGATGGTGTTTTACTGGACTACATTATGTTTAGAAGTGTATTTTTGCATTCTTCAGCTACATACTGTACATGACAGGGTCAGAATATTAGGAGCAGATACAGTAGATAACTGACATGTTTCGCTTTTTATGTCATTTTTGTTCCTCCTGGCTTAATATTTACTGCAGGATTCTCTTAAGGTTTATTTCACATTTATCAATCTATAACATGCAAAGTAGAGACAATCCCCTGACATCATGTGCAGTGGCAGAGAGCCACCTTGTGGACACCAAGAATCCGGTTCCCTTTTAAAATCCTGACCTTCCACCTAACACCTAGCATTTGCATTAAAGACATCATCAACATGTTTAGATCGCTGCGTCAGTGACTATCAGGAAAAAAAAGTATTGATTGTATTCATTAGAGGACTTAGAGACCATGTCCAGTCAAGCCAAATTATACAAAAGACCGGCTCCCTTTTTAATTCACTGAAGGAATATTTCTTTTAATTGACCCCATAAAAGTAGTGGCATATTTTAATGCCTGTTTGAAAATTTAACACCATATCAGACCTTTCTACAAGTCCCTGGCACCATCAAAACATATGTCAGTATCTTTTCTGTGCTGCCAGCCCCCTGGACCCTCCTGCACATAGCAAACATAGTTTCCTTCATCCAGATAGCCAGCCACAGCAACTGGCAACACTGCCCCCATGAAAACTGTCAGGAAGCTATGGGGCCAGACCCACTAGTTAAAAAAAATACCCAGAGTTTAAAAATAGTGCAGCAGTCTAAACTCACCCTGAGGACCCTGTTGGCTGTAATAACAGGGAGCTCATCGTTGACAGCTGTAACCTGGATGTACACCGTCTGGGCTGCACTCTGCTTCCTCAGGCTTGTGTCATTGGCCACCACAGTGAAGCTGTCAGCTACAGTTTCACTGCTGTCATGGATGTAGTAAATGAATTCATGTTCCACCTGGTTAGAGAGCAAGAAAATTATTAGTAAGAATATGATATGTAAAAAGTTTAGCCATTCATTACAGACATAGTTTGAGATTTGAGCTGGGGTAGGATGAGGGGGGGGTCAGGCTAGGGTAATACTCTTTAATGTGGTCATTTAATTAATTTACAAACATTGTAAGCATGCCTCTGTGGCTTTATGGCTTCAGGACTACTGTGAAGCCAGAAGATAATACAGTAATCATCAATCCATCAATTGTCATGTCTAAGCAAATTATTCTAAACGTCATTAAACAATAATTTAATTAAGAAGATATTTTAGGTTACAAGCACAGTATATCTGGACCAAATAAGAGAAAATACCCTCTCTTCTAAATCCTTCTATGTCTGTAAAATGGCAATGACAAAAAAAAAGAATATTACTACCATACTAAATAAATAATTTATCCACTAATCCAAGTGCCAGTCTAAGAGTGCAGTTAAGTACAACTCACCTGTCTCCTGGTGAAAGAGGTTATGTTCCCACCTGGATGTCGAGAGTGCTCAATGTGACCATGCTGCGGGGGCTCAGTCAAACTATACACAAAGTTGACACCAGAAAAATGTCGGTTGGAGACTTTGAGCACATCTTGGGTCAACGCCTTGGAAGCACCCTCCATCAGTGTGAAGTTTGACACCTGCAGTGGGATGAGGCGTGGGACGATGTCAACGGACATCCTAATGTCGCTGACGTCAGTGACCCCATTGGTGGCATCGAGGATGAAGGTATCATTGACTATGTTGGGCTCCACCTGCATATAAAGGATGTCCCCTCTGTTAATGTCTTCTTGGGTAAATGTCTTTATAGGGGACTGTTCTGTTCCAATGTAGCGCGCCTCTGCTTCAACAAAACGGCGGATAAATCCATGAGAGGGGGCTACCTTGACTGTGAATACAATCTCAGATGGCAGGTTGTCCTCGTGAGTAACCTGCAACAATCAGAAAACATATCTGGTGGTTAAATTTGAAGTGTTAGACATGTCACTAAAGTTTAGTTTTTATTTTGCTCTCATTGTAGCATGGCATCATTGTAAATTATATATACAAATGTTGGTCTGCATTGAGACTTCACCCTTGTATTAGCTAAAAACAAGTGCAGGAACATAACAAGTGTTATGGCAATACAAAACGTTTATAATTTAGGTTGTGCCCAACATTGTTTCTTTTTCCCTTCTGTTATCATAGCTGTAAAAGAATGTTTAAGGACATCTTAAACTAAAATACTCATTTCAGGATAAGAAAATATATTATTGTTATATGTGAATAATATAAGTCCAATTTTTATAATCATTATTCCTCTGTAGGTATTTAAAGATCAAAAATAAAAAAACTAAAGAACATTATTTGAAAGTGTAATGATAATGCAAATCGAAGTGCACACACTGACTGGGTTCAAATTAATTGGATCGTGCTCAATCAATCAATAAATAACAGACTGGCTTCCAAATGGCCTTCACATCATTTGAGCCAAAATAAAACTGCATGAACATTGTTTATTAGAAATTCTTAATCCCTAACCCACACAAACACTCACCTCTAGTTTAGTTTCATCAATCTTTCCTGGTTGTCCCTCTTCCACCACTAATGTATTGTGATGCTGCACAATAGGTGGCCTCTGGTGGCTTTCCAGGTAAACTCTCATATTGATCCTCACTGCAAGCCGAAGACCTTTAGCTTTCACTGTTAAGTTGAAATAGTCTGCCAGATGTTTTTTGTCATTGTGCCGATAGGAAATTAGTCCATCCTTTAAGTCACACAGTGTGAACAAATCCACATTTGTTTCATTGCGATAAAGTCCTCCGTACCTGGGAGGCTCATCCAACTTGAAAGTAACTTCATGGTCATTGCGTATGTCCAAATTTGATATGACACTAAAATTACTGGTAGAAAAAGTAGCTGATTTGCCCTTCTGAACCAGCAAACCAGTGTTGTTGCCAGCCTTCAAGAAAGGGTCGTGTGCACTGATGTCTAAAAGGCTCGATACAAAATGTTTTCCATCTGAGACAAAGAGCACAAACCTGCCAGTGCTCACGCCCTTGTGAATGAACAAAACCCGCTTTTCTTCCAAATCCTTCTGTTGAAACTGGAACAGCCGATGAGAAGTGTCATTAACAAGCACTAGATCTCCCATCGGGATTCCATGTCGAGTATAAATTAACTGACTGTCATCATAATCAGAGTCTGCATCATGATAGCGCAAATCATCTTGAGTGAGTAATCTCTGTCCATCTCTTACTATATGGAAAACTTTATCTATGACACGTATCGGCTTTTGGTCATTTACCAGCCGAATGGATATACTAAATGTTCCTTCTTTAGAGCCAATTTCATTTTCTGCAATGAAATATTTGAACCCTTGACTGGTGGACGCTATGAAAGTGAATTCGTCTTGAGTTGTTTCACTGTCATCATGTATATACATGATCCGTTCCTCTAATATATCCTGATTACTAAAGGTTAAGATGTTGTTGTAGCTAGTATTGGAATTTGACTGACTAATACGAGCTAGCGTTCCATGTTTGGGGCTGCTTATGACTGTGTAGTACATATCCTTTGTATTCAAAGTCTCCGCAAACAGCTCGTCTTTTGTGATAAGTTTACTTTCTCCCTCCAGAAGTGAGAGTCCATTATTTCTCATAAAAATGCTGTTGATATCAGCTTTAATGGAAAACTGAAAATCATAGTTTTGTGACTGAGAATGTTTTGAAACCAGCTGAAATTTGAACCTGTCATTTGTATCTTCAGAAGGCCTGTCGACCAGCTCATAATGTACTTTTAGATTTGTTACATCTCTTTGGCTGAAGGTTGAGTTCTTTGTCAAGACTGTGGTGTCGAGCATGAGTCTCCCTTTCTTTGGTGTAGTGAGAACCCGAAAATAAAGGTCCTCTTCTAAGAGGGATGCACCTTTAGCTGTGGCAAAAAGATGCTCTGAGTCCAGTGTCACTTTCCTAACTTTATCCAAGTCTATTATAACATTCCTCACAAGGTGGTACTTCACCCACTTCACAGTGATTTGGAAGAGTATTTCAATGGTTGCCCTTGCAGCGACATTAACTTTGCATTTAAAGTAATCCGTAGTGTTGGATGTCTGTATGTCTTGAAAAGTGCTAACATACCTCAGGCGCTCCTTTTCTAGAAGCCTTTGGGAAAATGAGTCAGTTGGTCTCCATTCACCACTTGAGTGAAGTCTCTGGAGTTCTCCATACTGAGGGGGTTCAATAACATCATACCGGATATCTACAGCTTGCTTGACTGCATTGGTTTCTACAGCCAGGTGCTTTGAACCGATTATAGCTGTCTCTCCTTGAATGATCCCAAGACCTGTGTTGTTGGTAATCTTATACTCTAGTGCTACAGCCATGACCCTTAGAACCACAGTGTTGCTGATCTTTTCCCCATCGCTGACTCTAAGAACTATCCTTGAGTTTCGAACCCCTGTGTGAAAATAGTACACCCTCAGTTCCTGCAAGTCTAAATATGAGAATGAGGTCACTGCCTTGCCAGGATTGTTTTCAATTTCCAAATATCCTGCATCGGCGTTCAAGTTTCCAAGCACAGAGAAGAAAAGGTCAGTGTAGCTGCTGTCAATGTCTGTGGCCTTGAGAATATCCGTGGTGAGGTGCTTCTTTGAGTTTTCCAACAGGACAAAGAGATTTCCTTCAGGGAGGCTCAATTCAGGTGCATCATTAGTAGGTGTCACAGTAATATTGTAACGATATAATTTATTGCCATTCAGATAATCAGGAACTTGTTTTCTACTGCTAGAATAAATTGAAAACCTGAAAAAGTCATCTGGTTCCTCTGAGCCTCCGTGAATGTACATCACTCGTCCATGCCAAAGGTCCAACATGCTGAAGGTGTTCTCTTCTTGGTCCTGATCAATGTCCAGCCTTATCTGACCATGCATTGGTTGCTCCAGAATTCGAAACATGATCTGAGACTGTCGGATGCCAAGCATCTTGAAGTCCAAGAGTACCTTGATGTGTTTGGCCTCAAGAGATGCTCGACCACCCTCCTGGACTACAAGGTTTTTAAACTGCACAAAATCAAAACCATACCTTCTATCCAAGCCCCTTGCGAGGGTGGACATATAAAGTGATGGTGTTGGTGTCACTAAGTGAAAAAGGAATCCTGCAGCAGTTGTGGGACTCTCAGTGGTTGATGGTTCTGGTTCTTTCTCTGGCTCACAACCAACTGAGATATCTTTGGTAACAATAGCATTAGAGAGGCCCATCTTCACTCCATTGACTTTAATGTTCCTCAAACATCCTTTGAAGGAACCTCCTTTGACACGCTTTCCAGACACTGAAATAAGCCTCACCTTTCTGACTTCTGATCTGGTGCTGTCATCAATACCGCCAAGGAAAAGGTGACCTTTAAGTTGAAGCACCTTTGAACGAGAGTTAATGCTGCTTTTCACCACTTCTCCATCAACAATTAGTTCAAGGCTTTTGAAACTGAGATGTAGTTTGATGGAATGCCATTTCCTGTCATTGATGAATGTGAGGGAACGAAGCTCGGTTTTGGTTCCACCTTTTCCAACAATGGCCACTGGCAAACCTTCCTGAATCTCTACAGCCACAAATTCTCCCTCTCTGGCTGAGCTGTACAGCATAATGCCCTCTTTGGCTGAAG